TTTTTCACTGTGTGAGACGCATATAAATACGTAATTTTGTGTATGACTTAGTGGCATAAAACCCTCTCTGAGAACAAAGCATGTTTGTCATTCTTTTCCTTTCAGCCTGTTTGTTCCTTCTGGGAAATATGGTGTTATATCATTGATATAATAATGCCCATAATGGGGTAAATACAAACAGGAGAATAAACATTTCTCTCATAGCTCTCACCCTTTAGAGTGAACTCACACACACTATGTCACCGAATTTACAAACCAACGCTTTAATCAACTAGACCCAGTGCCAGGCTTAAGGTTGCTGCCAGGCAAGTTGAATTTTGGTACCCTGGTAAGTATATTTTTTTTATAATTTACACAAGAAAAAAATTGAAAATGTAGAATAATGAGTTTATTACAATATACAACTATATACAATATACAAGCTAAAGAAAACATTCATTATCCTTCCTAAAAGATTTTTCTAGCTTTTAGATCTGCAAATCTTTTCATGGCACTTACTATGCCTATCTTCTTCCCAAGATAATTTTATATTGACTAAATAGCCGAAGAATATAATCTGTCTTGAGTCATGGATGACCACAAGTATGTTTGTATAAGCTTTAGTTTTCAAAGTTTCCTTTTCAATAAACATGGAAGGAGTTCTGGCTGGGTGAGTGGCAAACCGACCTATTCCTATTAACCTGTTCACAGCATGTGAGTCTGGTCGCTTTTATTGAGTCACCATCTCTGTGAAGGTTACCAAATAATATATATATATATATATATATATATATATATATATATATTATATATAGTGATTAGCACTCTAGGTTTTTTCTTGTACCAGGGGGTGCGGGGGGTTAGTAATGGCTAGCTGAACTTCGGCACCCTTATAAATAAAAATCTAAAATTTTTCCAAAGGAAAACTGAAAATGTAGAACAATGAGTTCATTACAATATACAGGTTAATACAAGCTAAAGAAAACATTCATTATCCGACCTAAAACATTTTTTCTAGCCTTTAGATTTGGAAATCTTTTCATGGAACTTTCTTCACCTATCTTCTTTACAAGATCATTTTCTATTGACAAAATAGCCAAATAATTTAATCTGTCTTGAGTTATGGACGACTGCAAGTATGTTTTTATAAGCTTTAGTTTTGGAAGATCCCAAACATATGACATGGCAACATCATGGCACCCTTGGCCTTGATGGCACCTCTGGTGACTGCCCAAGTCACCAGTACTTTGAGCTGGCTCTGCACATACTTAAACTGTAACTATGGCCCACTCAACATAGCTGCAGTATAAACCACATGTTGGCTCTGTGGATGTTGAAGAAACACAAATGATTCTGAGTAGATGGCTGTGTTTGACAACAAGCAGCCATACTGAAGATGTGAAATCACACTGATTTGCAATATATCTTCAAGTTGAAACAGCTTTGATGAGTCAATGATGATGATAATAATGTTACCTTCATTTACATTGTATACATGTGGATTATTATATGATATTAGGTTTGTGTCTCCACATGCTGGCACACTGGGCGTGTTGAACTTTGGTGTCCTTACATGTATAATTTTTAAAATTTTCACAAGGAAAAAAACTGAAAATGTAAAATAACGAGTTTATTACATTATACGACTTAAACATTTGTTATCCTATTTAAAACATTTTTTCTGGCCTTTAAATATGCAAAACTTTTCATGGTACTTTCTACAACTCTCTTCTTCCCAAGATTATTTTCTTTCGACAAAATTTAATCTGTTTTGAGTCATGGACGACTAAGTATGTTTTTATTTGCTTCTCTTTCCGGTGGCCACATTGATGGATATTATAGTAAGCATTATTCTTAATGAAACCCACAAAGTTGGCATGATATCTTGTAACTTATTAATGTTTATGAACCTCATGACTTTTATTGGAAACTTTATATCTTCAGGAAATAAATCTTTTGTAATATTTAGTTCAGTCAATAGATCATATCCATTAATATTACTATTTTCTTGGTACCTTAACATATCCTCCAAACCATGAAATGCTGCTTTGAGTTTATTTTTATCTGGCAGATCTTTTGGGTTATTTAGGTTATTTAAATGGGCCAAGCTGACCTCTCAGCCATACGACATAAACACTGGCTAATATGCAAAATACAAATTAATACAATTAGATTGGATCATTAAATATTTTATATAATTCAAAGGTCACTAAAACATCATTAATCATGGCAAATAAACTTAACAGATATGCAAAGTCTTTTAGATGGAAACGATCATTAATTTTTCTTTTATGGTGTTTGATTGAAAAAATTAATTATCAAATTCTCAAAGATTTTATTCCACTCAAGAAATTTAAGATTTTGTTTTTTTATTCCATTTTATTTAAAAATTTTTTTACCTTTTTGTTTGGAAGATCCCAAAGAGCCCTCAGCCTTGATGTTGCCCCAGGTGACTGCCTGAGTTGCCAGTACCTTGAGCCATCCCTGACTAGGTCATTGTACTGTACATTTGTTGTAGTGAACTTGTCTTTTTTAAAAACAAAACTGTTGATAGTAGGATAATAAAAAATATGTTCATTTTAAGAATCAGTATAGAATGAAGGATTTTTAAAACTCAATGATTTAATAACCACACTTTACCTCTGAATTACCCTCCCCCCCTACATGCATGCACATTTTATTTTGTGGTGCTGTTTGTTGCCAAGCTCAGTTTCAATACATTGTAAAAGGACAATGAAGACCATTTAAAAAAGTGAAAGTAAATACTATTATCAGCTTGATTGAAAAATGTCAAGTGTTCTCAAACCGGTTTGCTACACACATACCTTGACTCTCCAGATGAATTAAGATAAAAGACAAAATTTAACAACCAAAAAAAAAAAAAAAAGAAAAGAAAAGTAAACTGGGTTTATTCAGCAATATAAATTGAAGGACATTTTCATTTGTTTTTATTTGAGTTTTTTAAATTTTAATTTTAACATAAGCCATTCTAATTTGACCTATGTAACATCTGAAAATAACTCACAGAAAGTACTGACTCAAAAAATTCTATGTAAACTAAAAAATAAGTCAAATAGTTATTAAATTTAACCATTTTACCTTCTAAAATGAGTATTTGCAACATTAATAAATTTTGTATGGTTTTAGTGGTGCCATAAACAATGGTGATGTACCTGACACCACAGAAATGAAAATTCTTTGTCAGCATATCTGAAAAACAACAACCAGTGAATAATGATTGGTTTGGTTTGGTTTGTTTTACAGCATATCAACCTCAATGGGTTATTCAATGCTGACAAAATTTTTATTGCTGGTAATATTTTGTTTTGTCAAAAATCTATTTCTGGTAATAATTTTTTTCTTCAAAAATGTATTGCTGGTAATATTTTTTCCAAAAATGTATAGCTGGTAATATTTTTTTTTCAAAAACGTATTGTTGGTAATAGTTTTTTTCTTCAAAAATTTATTGCTGGTAATAATTTTTTACAAAGTATTTCTGGAATTAAATCCTATTTTTACACTTTCATAGTTTTTTTTACCCCAGTTTGGGGGTTAACTATTTGCCCATATCTGGAACCCTAACAGGTGCTACCACCCCGGGTCAGGGTGGACTTGGGAACACCAGCAATTAAGAGATGGTTCCACACTCCTCAAAACCTCCTGATCATAGGCCTTGCTGCTAGAACATAGTTTATTGTCTTACCCAGGATGTGCATGTAGTCATACCCAGAACAGCAGGGAATAAGGAAACCTTCTAGCTATGGAGTAACATTATGTGTATGTATGTATATGATTGATTTGCTTTCTACAGTATATCAATCAACCTTTGGCAGGTTGATTAAAATCAGAAAATATTTATAGATTGTAATAATGATTTACTGGTATAAGTCCTACTAATTAACACATAGCTGGTATTTGTGCGTAAGTGAATATAATGAACTCAGCAAGAATTGGTACTTGGCTCCCTAATTCTGAGCCGTTATCCATTACACCCGATCGACATTGCTTAACTTCAGTGATCGTACAAGAACTGGTGTTTGAACATGATATGTCCGTACAGGCATGTGGCTGAGTGGTTAGAATGTTTTCTTTCTGAACACCAGAGCTGGAAAGGGGACTTCTTGATGTTTTCAGACTTGGGAGGTGATTTCAGCATGCGGCCTTGTTAGAAAGTTCCCTCAAAACCATACCACAGGCTGACCCAAGCTATGTGAATGAAACTGGGTAGACAAAACTGTTCAGAAGCTGCTGATGGTTGTGATAGCAAGAATTGACAAGTCATTGTGACTGATGGTTTGAGTGCATTTGGTTTGTTTAAACAGGTGATCACACCAGATTATGCATTCTCTCCCAGAAACTGTAACTAAGGTCCTCTCAACGTAGTTGAAAAGTATAAACAACAGGTGAGTACTGTGCTGGCTGAACAAATACAAATGTGCCTGAGCAGGCGTTCTGCAACTGGGATTGGTTAGCTGCTATAGCTGACAGAGATATGCACCAAACCATTTTTATACAATGTTTTTATTATTATTATTATTATTATTTTTATCTAAAATAAATGAAATCTTGTTTTATTTCAATCTAGATACTTTTTTTTATCTCAAATAATAATATTGTTTTCAAATGTTTGTCTAAAGATTTGACGATAATTAATGTGTTTCAATCTGAATAACTTACTGTCTCTTACACTTTTTTTTATTTGCCAAAAAAATTCATGACACTTATCGTAAAATGGTTATCTAAGCCGAGCATTTTTCTTTTCAATTCTGTGCAAGCGACACACCTTGGAAGTTTACAGATAGAGAGGAAAGTAAGAGGAGTGTAGAAAGAAACCGTGACACAGCAGTTTTTCTTTTGTTTATTTGCTCTTTCCTCCTTCAGTCCCCGTCATTTCCCCTGGTTTAAGTCAGCCGGAGAGAAAGAGAATAGAACAGTGGAATAGCGGAATCTGAATATTCTGTCATTCTCTCAAAATCGGGAATATACTCGTGTATTGAGATAATTTGGCGCTAAATCGCTAGAACTTGCTCGTAATACCACTTGGTAAGTACACTTCAAGAAGAAAAAAAAAATGGAAATCTAGTGACAATTTTGGCGTAGAGGCATTAGTTTCTTTATTTGTAGCTTGTAATTTTTTTTTTTAATTATCTTTGTTATGTAATGTTGATAAATGCGTTTTTTCAGTTGCCTTACGGGTGGGTATTTTTATTTTCGTCTCTACGTATCTTAAAAACTTGAAAAACTCTTAAATAAGTTAAAAAGACCATGCACTGATTTAAAATTCCTGGCCTGTGAAAAAAAGAAAAAGAAGTAAAAAGCAGATGAATTATTGTCTTTAGAGTAATTTTTTTTCTTTAATTTTAACTACAAACCTAGTTACTAAAAAGTCTGAAAATAAAGACTAAATTTGAAATCGTTGCTATATAGATTTAAAACCTTAGAAAACTTTCTAAAAAAAAAAAAAAGTGATGTGATTTTCTTTTTTAATTCATCTGTTTCAATTTGTTTTTTTTTTTTTTTTTAAAAAAAAGCTTGTTTAAATGTTGTTTTTTTTTAAATTTTAAAACTCACTAACTTTAAAAAGTATAACTGGCAATATGTTAGTCTGGAACACGTAACATTCGATAAATAAAAAAAGTTTAACAACAAAAGAAAAAACAAACTACCAACTTTATAAAAATTTTTGTATTTTCATTTGTTTCGATATTTCAAGTTCAATGCATCGTCATTTAAACAAGTGAGCAAGTACTTTTTCTTATTGCTTCGCTCTCTGAATTTTATTTTGCAGTTTTATTTCGAACAAAAATCCATGGTTCATGCCTTCCCCTTATTTATTTATTTTTTTTTGTATGTTGTCGCATATTAATATTTTTGTTTTTTAAAAGTTTTAATGTCTAATAATATTGAGAAAGAGGCGCCATCTCTTCTGCTTTACTTTTTTGTTACATAAATTTTTATTACATAAAATTAATCATACGTAAATTTAAATTAATCAAAAGAATTGTAATATGGGGTTAAAAAATCAAATTTTAAATTCAGATTTTATTTTGCCTCATAGTAAGCCAACCGGTCTTTTGAAATTATTTTTTTACCTTCTTGTTACTTCATTGCAGCCACATTTTTTTTTTTTTTTTTTTTCAATCACTTAAAATTTGCTTTCTCACACAAAGTAAGAACCGGTACAATTATGAGATCTTTCTAAGTTTAGAAAACGGCTTTGAGAGAGGATTTTTGAATATTAGTCCAGAATTTGAAATCTAGTATCTTTTCGATACATTTTTTTTTTTTTTTTTATTTAACCGAACGTCATTCACTAAAATCTCCCACCTTTTTCGCGATTGGTTTGAGGAAAAAGTATTTCTTCAAACCCTCTTTTTCTATAAATTTAATTTTGTACGATTTCAAACGTTTTTTTGTTAGTATCATTATTCGCACTTGAAAATGTTATAAACCCCTCACCCACCCCCACTATATTCCTTGATATTGACCGAAGTGAAATGATTTGATATTTTGTTATGTAATATATTTTTCTAGTTAGCATGATGATGAAATAATTTTCTTCCACCTAAATCTTAGTAATTTCCTGGAATTACTATATCCTGAATAAGATAATCTTATATTAGTAGTCAATGTGTGTATAATTTAAACTTAATAGTTAATCGAAGTAACTGATTAGTTTTTACTAAAAATTTGAATTGCTTTAAAAAAAAAAAAAGAAAACAATACTGGCGGTGGATAATGAGAATGAATGAAAAACATTTTTGTAAATAAACTAACAAGTGTTGAATCAACGTTTATTAGCGCTTCTTATTTTAACTTTAGAAATAACTCTCCTTTTAAAAATGCTTTTTCCCCCCCTCCAATATATCGTAAAATCTTTATGCTGTCGTAATCTTCAAGACTTCCTTTATTCTTTAACAATCGGTGTTTCATTGAAAAACCGACCCTTCTGTTAATTCGTCCAGTTGAGGTTTTCGTTTTATTGATTATAAAAAGAGAAGAGACTATTACTGATGGTTCTCCTCTTGAATAGATCTCTTAGAATAGTTTTTTTCTTGTCGCATTTTATTTCTAAAAAGGCTTTAAAAATGCTCTGTTGTTACTACTGTAATTTTTTTGTGTTCGGTACGTACCTCCCAAACTTGTTTGAAAAAGAAAAAAAGTTTTATCGTCAAACAAACAAAACATTTTTTGTTGTTAAGAGGAAAGACCAAAGTATTTTATATCCTTTCTAGCACATTCGAAATTTTGGTTAATTTTTTTTTTTCTTTCGTTGGCGGGTGGGTCAAACAAAAGCTTAGCAAGGGGAAATTTAGCCTCTTATTGCGGTACCCCCCCAAAAAAACATTGTTTTGAAAATTCTAACAAAAATAAAATTGTAGGATTTTAATAAAATTTTCAGGCCTTATTTGCAAATGAATAAATTCCTTGGAGAATTTAAGCATAACTTTGTTAAACAGAAAAAAAAAAACGAACATTTAAGGAAAATGTAGTAAAACTATTTAATTATTCTAATTAGAAAAACTCTTAATTGCTATATTTTATTTTTTTATAAATATTTAAGGACAAAAAAGGACACCATTGTCCTTAAGGAATGTATATTTTAAAAATATACATAAATATCCTACATTGATTGCACAACTGTGAGTTTCATGCCTCCACAATCTTCAGCCAGCCCATTAAGACGGCAGATGTCTGATCAAATCATTAGTTTATAAAGCTGAAATCAAATATGGCAGTCAAGTTTTGTGGTCTCTATGGGAAACCATTGGAAATTGCACTTCTACCAACACCAAATGACCTGAGGCAATAATATCAAATATAGTAACAACACTGGCTTCTCTACAATTTCCTTTTTTTACTGAAAATTTGAATAAAAATCCAACTATCTGGGACTCGGTAATGAAAGCTAAACCCTTCAGCGGGAAAGGCAACAGATGTAACTTATGTCTTTCTGAAAAATTAATAATCTTGAAAAATATGAACAGTCCTAATCTCTTAAAAATAATTAAAAAAAAAAAAAAAAAAAAAAAAAAGGAGTCTGACCTGTCTACATAGAAGCAAATTTCTACTCAAACAGGTTGACCCAGATTAATGTAGTCTAGCTGGGCTTGGGGGATCACAAATACTAGTATTGATATTATTTATTTTTATTAACATTTTTACTATACAACTATTGTTATTATTAGACTGTAATGCATTTAACATTCTTGCTAATCTATTATTTTCATTATCTTATTACCATTTTTAATTATTTTTATTTTTTACTTTTTAATCTTATTAGAAACATTTTTTAATTGTTTTATTCATTTTATTTATTTACATATTATGTTGTTTTTTTATTTTTATTAGTATATTTTATTTTATTGCATAGTTTATTAATGATTTTCATGAAAAAAATAGTTACTCTACTTGATCTCCAAATGTTTCCTTTTTGATAACATCAGCATGTTTTAGATTTTACATTAGAATTTATAATTCTTATTTGCAACTTGTCCTTCCTATAACCCTTCCCCCTGTCCCCCCTCCAAGGAAAATCCTCACCTGAAGATTGCAGAGGCATGAAACTGAGTTGTGCAATCAATGAAGGGTATTATGCATTTTTAAATATATTAAATAGCTGTTATTTAACATTGAGCACTTTTTTTTTTTTTTTTTTTTTTTTTTTTTTTTTTGAGAGACTATAATAATGCTTAATATATATATACATTTACCTATATTTATCCATTTGATTTGTATGTGTGTGTGTGTATATATATATATATATATATAATAATTTTTTTTTAAATTTAGAATAATTTAAAGTTTAAAAAATTTTTTTAAAATTCTGTATTTCATCCTTTTTAGATTATATCAAGTTAAAACTATATTTACTAATCATAAATGAAAAAGCATAGTACAAAAAAAATTATATTAAAAAAAAAAAAAAGTGATCATGTCATTTTCTTTAACTTCAAAAAATAACCACATAGTCAATTTAAATTAGTTTTGCTTATTGGAAATGTTAAATTTATTAGCTTGAAATTTAAAACTAAAATAAAAGTTCATTTTAAACCTTGGCTATTCAGTTTTCTGTGGTGGTACATAATATATAGTCCCCCCCCAAGTGAAGTGATACCTAAGTTTTTAAAAAAATGCATTTAAAAAAATCTTTCTTGAGGCTTTTATGTATTTTTAATTAATCTGAATTGAAATAAATATTACTTAAATTTAGTATTTCCAATAAGGAAAATACTTTGCTCTATTTCAAACCAAATTTAAATTGATTGGAATGATATTTTTTTCTGGATTGTCAGTAAAATCGTTCATATTGACAAGTCTGCTAAAACAGCATAATTTTCTTCTATATAATAAATGTGAATGTCAGTGTGTCACTGTCACACTTTTTCAACTTTACTCCTAGAGTCTGTAGCCCAACATATCATACCATTTTGGAATCGGGCTGACTCTCTGAACAAATTAAAAACATTCAGAGCTGATCTGGACCTGAAATTTGGAATTCCCAAGTTTTCATTACTGCGATTGTTTTGGGGGTGGAAAAAATCAAAATGGTGAAATCCAGAGAAGGTCACCCATGAAATAAATATAATTGTTTCTGTGGAAAGTAATGACCTATATACAGAAAATTGTCTTTAAATTGTTGACAGAAGAATTATTGTTGAATTTTTTAAAAAGTAAGCTTCAATATTAATGCAATACTAAAATGCAGTGATCAATTTTGAGCTCTTCCATAGTTTCTTGTTGCCTATTGCATCTACTTCTCTCTACTTATTGTGATGAAGGCCTAATCAAGAGACCTCCACAGGAGTGAGTTTAAATGCCTATGATTTAAATTTTAATTAATCTGAATTAAAATAAATATTACTTTTAGTTTAAAATTATTGCAAACAAACTTTTTTTTTTTTTTTTTTTTTTTTTTTTTCAACACTGAGGTAGATGTTTTTAAGGTGTTGAAACATTTGATGTTTTGGAAAATTTAAGTAAGGGGCAGATAATTGTAATAAAATTGCATTAGTCCAATGTAAACACTTCCCTATTTTTTT